GAAGCTTCTTGATAAGGGTGAAAAAGTTAAGTGTAAAAGCTGGCTTGAAGCTTAACAAAAACAAACAAACAAACAAAGATCATGACCACTTCCTGGCAAACAGAAGGATAAGAAATGGAAGTAGTATCAGATTTTATATTCTTGGGCTCAAAGATCACTGCAGATGGTAACTGCAGCCATGAAATTAAAAGATGCTTGCTCCTTGGATAGAAAACTATGGCTCATCTGGATAGCATATTAAAAAGCAGAGATATTAAAAAAAAGCAAAGATATCATCTTGCCAACAAAGGTCTGCATAGTCAAAGCTATAGTTTTTCCTGTAGAGATGTATGTTTGTAAGAGTTGGACTATAAGGAAAGTTGAGTGCCGCAAAATCAATGCTTTCAAATTATGGTGCTGAAGAAGACTTTCAAGAGTCCCTTGGACAATAATCAAATCAGTCAATACCTAAAGAAATTAATTCAGACTATTCATTGGAAAGTCAAATACTGAAGCTAAAGCTTAAATATTTTGGCCATATAATGAGAGAACTCATTAGAAAAGACCCTGATGTTGGGAAAGAATGAAGGCAAATAGAGAAGATGATGGCAGAGGATGAGATGGATTGTTAGTGACATGTAAGCAACGAATATGAACTTGGAAAGACTTCAGGAGACAGTGGAGGATAGAAGGGCTTAGCATGCTATGGTCCATAAGGTCACAAAGAGTCAAATACAACTCAGTGCCTGAACAACAACATTCCTGGAATGTTCTCTTTCCTCCTGTCTGACTACTGACTTCTAGGCTTCCTTCAGGTCCCTACTAAAATCCCATATTTTACTGGATGCCTTCCCCTGCCCCTCTTAACTCTAGTATCTTCTAGCTTGTGTCACTCACACACACACACACACACACACACACACACACACACAGAGTTTTGCTTGTTGTCTCCTCCATTAATGAGTATCAGTTCTTTGAGGGCAGGGACTATGTTTTGCTCTTTTTGTATTCCCAGCACTTAGCACAAGGCCTGGCTCATATTAAGGGCTTAATAAATGTTTATTGATTAGTTGATTGAGATGGAATGAAATAAGGACAAGGCTTGAGAACATAGAAGTTATGAGCCTAGGTTATTGGAAAGATGATGGAATTGAGGGAGTTTCTAAAAGAGAATGGTTTTCAGGGAAAGAAAATTAGGTCTGTTTTGGACATAGAGTTTAAGAAACTCCACCCAGTTTGCAATGTCCAACAAGCTCTTGCAGAACTGGAACTCAGGAGAAAGACTTGGTATAGATATATTATTTGGGAATGATTTGCATAGAAAAAAAGCACTTTGTAATCCTTAAAGCACGATATTGGTGGTAGTGTTCAGTAGTATCTGACTCTTCATGACCTCCTTTGTTTTTTGGGGTTTTTTTTTTGGCAAAGATACCAGAGTGGTTTTCCATTTTCGTCTTCAACTCATTTTACAGATGAGGAAACTGAGGCAAACAGGGTTAAGTGACTTGCCCAGGGTCACACAGCTAGTAAGTGTCTATAGCCAGATTTGAACTCAGGAAGATGAGTCTTCCTGACTCCAGACCTTGAGCTCTATCCACTGCACAGCCTCTCTAAAGTACCATATACATGTGAGTTATTTTTATTCTTATGTTCTCCAGAAGGTGTCTTCAGGTATGACTAAAACAAAGTTTTCTAGTCCCCTTACCCTGGAATCTACCCAAAAAGAAATGCTGTGGATAGGCTTATGATTGCAATAAAAATAATGTAAAAGATGGAAAGGGGGGTAGAAAATAATGATAATAATAATCAACATTTATATTGATTCTTTACAGTATTTAACACAGACTATTTCATTTGAGTCAGATATGCAGGTTATTGTTGTTCAGTTGTTTCAGTCATGAACTCTCCACAACCTCATTTAGGGTTTTCTTGGCAGAGACAATGGAATGGTTTGCCATGAAGAAACTGAGGCAAACAGGGCTATGTGACTTGCCCAGGGACACATAGCTAGTAAGCATCTGAGGCCAGATTTGAACTCAGGTCTTCCTGACTCCAGGGCTGGCACTCCATCCACTAAGCCACTTAGCTGCCCAGATGTAGAGAGGTATTATTATCTACTAGTATCCTCATTTTGAAGATGAGGAAACTGAAGCTAAGTAAAGTTAAGTGTCTTGCTTATGGTCACTTAGCTAGCAAACACCAGAGTCAAGATTTGAACCCAGGTCTTCCTGATACCAAGTTCAGTATTCCACTACATTATACTCCTTCCCCAAAGTAAAGAAAAGGAAAGGAAAAAAATACATTCTGAATTTAAGATTCATATTTAAACATAGAAAATGTAAGAGACACATAACCTAACTTTATTACTGTGTTAGTCACAAGTGTCAACAAAGACACTATGGCATGTGTTAAATTTTTTTTATCTTCCATTTCAGAATTAGAAATGCTGCATTCTATTTGATTCTCATCATTTTATCATTTTTTATCATTTTATTAGCCAGATGCTAATAAAATGGCAAACGGTGCGCTATAAACTTGTCAGGTAGCAAGGCAAAGCTATATTTTAGAAAAAAATGGTAGAGAAAAAAATAGTGGAGTAAAATATAAAATGGTAATGGATTCCAGAATCTGGCACCTTAAGAAAAAGAGCAGGTGTGCCAAATGATCAGCAAATCCAACCTATAAAGGACACAGAAAGAAAACCTCTATCTACAAGAGTTTCCAAGAGATTTTTCAGCATGGGAAACTGGTGGGAATCTCCAGTTGTTTCCTTTCTCATTTATAAGTGTGAATTGTGCAAGACTTCTCCTACTGTTTGCCTTCACAGTGAGGTCTGAAATGAATATATCAGAAAAGATGCATGTTATTTGCTAGTGGAAAATACAATCAACAGCCATAAGTCTTTCTGGCAGGACTTGTTTGTCCTTTCAGGATTTGGGGGGAAAGAATGAAAAATAATACAAACATACACCTTTTTGAGATTACTTGAAAACAATTTTTAACAAACCCCAGAAAAGAGTGTCAGTGATACTCTTCATAGAAATCATAATGATGAACAAAATGCAAAGTTGGACAGCTCTGGAGAGAGGTTCTTATCTCCTAGTACATTGCTTAGCTGGGGGTTTGGTAAGCTTTATAAAAAAAAGAAAGTAGACTACCCTTCCCTATCCCCTCCTGCTAGGGAATAATGGACTTTTGTTCTTCTCAGAATTAAATATCAACTACGTACCAGCAGGAGTTCAATATTCAAAGCTTAAACGGAACAGTTAACATAAATATTTTTCAGCTGAGAGACACTAACTAATACAACACAGTAAACATTATATAAAGGGCAATTATTTTCCTCTGCCCCTTCTATTGAAATGATGTGGGATTCAGCTGGGAGCTTTCAATGCAGCCAGCAAGTATTCTAGTTTATTAAATGTAGTCGGTTGTCTCCCCATAGGGTTATTTTAATAAATTATACATCACTCTCCTTCTAGTGTAATAATCCTTTAACAGATGTGACCCCATATGTTAAATTGGAAATTACAGAGTGGCTAAGTGATCTGCTTTCTGAACAAAATAGAAACCCCTTCCATGCCAACATATGTCCAAAGAGATCCATAGTCCTATCATCCCTCCTGACATACTATTTAATTTCTACTTGTAGTCTTTCAATGACCACTCTAAAATCATACTTTCCTCATGAAATTTTCCCTGGCTCACCAGAACTAAAGTGATCATTCTTTCCCTTTAGTCCACTTCAATTAAATTCAATTTAACAAGCATTTATGAAATACCTAGCTCATGTAAGATACTGTGCTAGGCACTAGAGATAGTAAGACAAAGATGAAACCCTCTAAAACAAGAACAATAATCTCCTACCTTAAGAGGCTTACCTGAGAGAGGAAAGAGATACAATATTTATACAGATAAATTCCCTGAGGTAAAGGATTATTCATTTTTATTTTTATCTCCAGCACCTAAGCATAGCATCTGGTACATAGTAAGTGCTTAATAAATACTTGTTGAATTTCAGGGAGTGAACTTATACTTACTGGAATCTCTTAACCTTGGTTTTATTAACTTTTAATAATTAGATAGCTATATTTCAATATAATTAACTTCCTTTGTAATCTTATACATTTTATTTTATTATATTTAAAAGTATTTTTCTAAGAAGGGGTCTATAGGGTTCACCAGGTAGGCAAAGCAGTCCAGGATAAAAACAAATGTTAAGAATCCTTTCACTAGGGAGTTGAGGAAAGGTTTTCCCTATGAGATAAGCACTTGATTTGAACCATTAAAGAAACTGAGACAGCAATGAGAAGGGAATACCCTCCAAATATAGGGGATAAGGGACTGTGCAAAGGCACTAAGTCAGGGAATGAGATGCCAAGTTTGAGGAAGAGTAAATAGGCCAGGTTGGCTTAAATGTTAACACGTGAAGAGGAGTAGTGGAATATAAATCTGGAGATTTAGGCTGGATCCAAAAGTGGGAAGGCCCTTAAACACCCAAGCTAACACCTTCCTCCCTAGCTATTGTTTCCCTCTATGGATTGTCATCTGTTATTATAATGTAAGCTTCTTGAGGGTAAGGGACTGCCTTCCTTACTTGAATTTGTATCTCTAGGGCTTAACATAGTGCCTAGAACACAGTAAATGTTTTTTTTTCTCCATTCTTTAAAAAATTACGTAAAACAGATAATCAACTTGAAATTCATAGCAATCTGGGTCACTTACTAAAGAGCAACAGCCCTATATAATTCACTAGTCCCCAAGGATACTGGTATATCACAGAATAGCACAACAACTGATACTCATAATGATAACCTTATGTCAATGATAATTGAAAAAAAACAAATTCTCTGCTATGTATTCTATGTTAGAATGTAGGGAAATGTTATTTTTATTTAAAAAAAAGGATTTCTATAAAACATGGTTAAATTTTTAAGGCTTAAAAAAGGGCTGGCATATCAAGAAACTTAAGTGAAACATCTGATTCTCTATGAATGTTAGATAAAAGAGATATTATTCACCTGAAAGATCTGTTACAAATTTGGAGCTAGAAGACCTGGGTTTGAGTCCTGAATCCAATATTTCCTAAGAACAGCAGCATGGTATGTGGAAGTCAGGAAGATCTAGATTTGAATAGCGCCTCAGATGCTAGCTGTGTGACCCTGGACAGGTCATTCAACTGCTCAACCTGTTCACCTATAGAATGAGGACAATAACGGCACTTACTTATTTATCTCACAGGATTCTTGTAAGAGTCAGATAATGTAGGTAAAGAGTTTTGCAAACCCTCAAACACTATATAAATGCTAGTTGTTATTATTAGCTATGTAACTGCTAGCAAGTCATTTAACCATTCTGTGCCTTCCTTGGTTTTCTCATCTGCTAAAATGGGGATACATCTACTCCCTAAATCAAAAGGTTATATTGAGGAAAGTGCTTTGTAAATTGTAAAGGGCTATATAAATGTGAGCTTTTACTATAGCACAAAGACTCACAGATTTAGAACTGGAAGAAAACTGGGCGGGGGAAGGTGTTCATCTAGCACTATGCTCCCATTTCTATGATGAGGAAACTGAGACCCAAAGGGTTGGTTTTAGCCCTTGATGTTACATTATCTTTTGGCTTGCCATGTGAATGCTAATGTGAGAAATGTATTTACTCTGCACTAATGTTGGTTATTATTGATTATTGCTTCTTAGATGGCAAAGACCACATCTGTGTATCTTTTTTTTTTTGAATAGTCTCTAAAAGAGCAACATGGTCACAAGTAAGCCCATAAATACCATTTGCTGATGGTGATGAGAAAAACTCTAAGGGTGTCTTTGAACAGCCTTTCTCTCTTAAGAGAGAAAAAATTGATGTTAAAAGGTTTACTACTCTTGGTTATAGGGGTGGTGGTAAACATAATAAAATGACCAACCTTTCAGTTTTTACAGTTAATAAGTTAAGAGTCAACATCTTGGTTTCCTGGAAACATAAAATTGTGTACAGATGTCCTTAGGCAATGATGATACAACAAAATGACATATAAACCATTTCTAATATTTTAAAAACAGAAAAATATATTTGGAAAATAGTAATTCCATTATAGACCCAAGTGTGATAATGGGTAAATAAATGAGGCATCAACCTATAATTCAATTCAGTGGGAAAATAACCATTACCTCCTTAGCTACACACAGACAAAAATGATAGAATAGATTAGAATCATGATGGTCCATCCAAATAGTGATGCTCAGATTCTGGGCTATAGTTCTAAGTACTTCGATATGAGAATGAACATCACAAATTGAAAGAAACTTAAAAATGGATAGAACATCAGCCCTGAAGTCAGGAGCTCAAATTTGGCCTCAGACACTTAATAGCTGTGTGATCCTGGACAAGTCACTTAACCTTGACTGCAGAGAGAGAGAAAGTAGAGAAAGGAAGAGACAAAGGAAGGAAAAAAAGGAATAAAGGAAGGAAGGGAAATTATAAAAATGACAGAATTGGCTGTCAGAAAAATTTTTAAATGATAATGGTTGAAAAGGATAAACCAAGGAAGTAGCATCCAAGAGTATTAGATGAAATCGAGGAAAGAAAAATTTAGGACACATACATCTACTCTCCAATGATTCTTTTTTTTTTTAAAGCTTATATGTAAGTTTCAACTTAATATTCCTATATTCTTGTTCTCTTCATTGAATTATATCTGGCTACTCTAGAGACTCTAGAACAAAATATTTTTAAACTTTTCAGACTAATGGCTAAGAATTGCTTTTAGAGTTCAAATCACTGGCCCTTGATAAAAAAGGAGAGGAGGGGAGGGTTGAAAACAAAACTGTCATGAAAACCAAAATACAAACAGAAAAGAATTCATTAACTTACCATAGTAAAACTTAATTGCAATGTATATATTTTAATTTTAATAACAATATCTTAGTTTTATAGTTTTAAATAATAACTTTCCCAAGCAAAGTGCATTGACAGAGAGGAGATTTGGTATAACAAATAGTGAGATTTCCTTGGAGCCAGCAAGACCCAAGTTCAAGTCCTGACACACACAGACTAGCTGTAGCACCATAGGCAAATCCCTTAAATTCACAGTATCCCACACAACTCTCTCTATAAGACTGTAAATTACTTTCAAAGACTCTTCAGTTGCTGCTCTGTATTAGTGGAAGGCGTTTACACACTGGGAGTTCCCTACACAGATGAAGCATCAGGTCTGGATACACTTCTTTCCCCAACTCCCTCATCCCCCTCAAAAATACTGACCTTGAAACAATTACTATAAACAACCTATCATATGAAGAAAAGTGGTAGCATTCAAAAATATTTCTGATTAACATATCCCTCAAAATTGACAATATATGTTGTGATGACTTTTATGAATAATGTACAACTTGTTTTTATGCAAAGATATACCTTATGTTTTGGGTCTTAACAGATGGCAAATTCTTTTTAACAGAGTTTAAAACTTGCACACTGGGATTGAGAATTATTTATACAGTAAACACTTTAGCTGATCTTATCTTTGGACAAGTTTAATTAAAGGATGAGATACCAGTAGCACAATAAAGCAGGCTCCTGGGAGAAAGAAGTAACTTCGTTCTTCACTGAATACATTATTTCTCCACTGCAATTTAGGGCATACATGTAAATTAATGGGACTTTAGAGTTTTATGACAAATCCCATAAGCATTTGGCTTTCTTGTTGACTGTTTTCAAACTCAGTGTTAATAAAGCTTTAACACCCAAGGCAGGGAAGGATGCCGAGCTGGCTGTTTGATGAAACATTCCTGCTAATTTTTCTTAAACAGTTCTCTAGGATCCATCACATCTTATGCAGTTTATGGAAGCTCACTTTCTGTTTTACATTAGGAACATATAATAGGAAAACAAATACGCTAAAAAAAAATGCCTTCTTGTTCTCAGACACCTGCCTACCTAGGTTATTGGGAAACCATGAGGATTAATGAGACACTGTTCTTAAAGCTGGCATATAAAATATATGGTAGCATATGAAATATAAAATAAGTGGCATGTCATTTTGTTTTTTGTTTGTTTTAACATTACTGCTACCTTTCCCCTTTCTCAATAGAATCTTCCGCTCTTGTAACAATTAAGTGAAGCCAAACAAAACTAATAAATACATTGGCCAAGTCTGAAAGTGAATTTGGGCTCAATATTTTAATTGTAGTAAGAAAGTTATAAAATTTATAGTGAGAATGTAGCTTCTCTGAGGGCAGGGATGATCTTGCTTTTTTATTAGTATCCTCAGCTCCCAGTACAAGTGCCTGGCCCAAACAATAACAGGCACTTAATAAAAGCTTGCCACCATCTTGCAGATGACAAAACTGAGGTCTAGAGGCCCATATAAGTAATTTCCCCATGGTCACACAACAGAGCAAAGGTACAGAGTTAGATCCTCAGTCTTCAAAGGTGCTACTTTTTTCCCCACTACAGGAAGAAAGTTTTATAAATGCACTGTATTTTATAAATGCACTAGTAAGGAGCTATACCAAGACTAGAACACAGGGCTTGTGTCTCCTAGTCCAGTGCTTTTATTTACTGTATGTTTTATTTGAGGGGTTCACATTAACGACCTGAACGCACTTCTTCAGAATGAGTATGTTGAGAAAAGATGAAGAATGCTTTCAAGGCTAACAGCAGATGACATCAATCCTTTAAATACTTTGCTGGATGGTCCACAGGGCAGAGAGGGTATGCTAAGAAGCTAGAGAATCAATTTGAAAGTAAAATTCAGTATCCTGGGTACTTTATTTTAAAGCAAAGGCCTTGAGGTACTGGGTGTGGAACCTGGATCTCTCTGATTCCAAGATAGGGAAGGATACCTCTGATACCAGTAGCATATTATAGATCTGAGTGACATAATTTACACTTAAAATCAATTAAAATATTCCTCATTCTTCTCTCCTATCTAATGATTCACTTCACTTTTGGTTCTGCATCATAGGAATATGCTCCAGGAAGTACACTGCTGAGCTATTATCATACTTCTCAGGGGGTAAAAGACAATTGGCTTTGGCCCCCTTCTTCACAACCCACCAGAGGTATGCAATTAATGGCACAACAACATCCACCCTGCTGTGTACAATACTGCTCAGTTCCTGTGGCTGTTAAAAAGTGCCACGTGGAGGGAAAGGGGAAAAAAAAACAAAAGACTGCCATGCAACGCACATGGTATTCATGACAGAAGTAAAAAAAAAAAAAAGAGAGAGAGAGAGAGAGAGAAAGTGAGATGCCATATGAATCAGAATGACAAGGCCCAGAAATATAAAGCTCACCAAAGTTCATTGGGTTTATGCTGAAGCTATAATTTGCAATTAATGCCATTTCCACTCCATGACTGGCTGAATGACATTAGTAATAACATCACTAATATTGTGGTTTGAGCTCAAAAAGAAGTCAGTGATCCTTCAGGGCAGTGAAGCCAAGTTTCAATGGAGCATGAAAATCAAGGTTACTACCTGAAACATATCTCTATCAAACCACAATTTTGTCTTGTATGCAAAGAATATCAGTTAAAGGTCCTGTGCTGCACAGATGGTATGCCCTTATTTCAAACACAGTTTAAAGTCTATTTTACAGGACTAGAGCAAAATCTTCAAGTAACAAAACCATGATAGGGGACTGGCACTCAAAATTCCTTACCTCCTCCCCCCTCCAAAAAAAATATTGGCAGGCTAAGAAAAATGTCTAATCACTAATGATATTTATCATACAGAACAGAAAAACAGGAACAACAGAGGGTGGATAGGTTCATTGGTTGGCCTTATGATACAAAAAAAAAAGTCCAATGTTAAAATCACAGTACGGCCACTTTTATCTAAATGAAAAAACAACAAAAACAACAACAATGAAACAACTTTTGAACAGTGACAACTGGGAAAACCATACATTCACTGGGCAAGGTCCACCTCCACTTAATATAATTTATAGAGGAAGCATCTAACACATATCTGGAAAACATAGTTACACTTCTCACATCAACATATCCTTAGTATTAAAAACAATTGATTCAGCTAATACCCAAAATGGATTAGATAGCTCTTTAGAAATGTGAATTTCCCCCTGCTTAGGTGTCACTTAGTATCTTTTTTTTTGCTTTGTTTTGTTTTGCATGAGGGACCAATTTATAGTCTCCGTAGGGGGCAGTCAAGTTCTGCACAGAAGTGACTGTGTCAATCAAAATACCGTAACTGATTAATGTAGTGACCAGGTTTTTGTATACAAGTGAATAGTTATAGTATTAGACCTTACAGAAAGGTCTTTACCTTTATCTCTTCCCCTTCCCTGACCCCCTCTCCCCATCAGGAAAAAAAAAAAAAAGACTACCTAGCAACTAAAAGGTGTTGGAAGTTATGAGAGAATTATTTCCCTTTTCTAAAGAAAATCCCTAACAAAAGGTTGCAGTGTACATGGTTTTGCTGTTGCTGTTTCAGTAATATACACCTAATATTAAAGCAAATGTCAAAATGATCTTCAGAGTTCACAACATGAATAGCTTATATGTTCTGCTTCAATAATAAGCATTTATTGTTAAAAGCAGTGGATAATTTAAGGGGAAATAAACCACCACGTGAAATAAACCCACTGCCAAGTATTTTTTTTTGTCATCCCTTTGCCCATTTTGCCTTGTGACTAACAACCAGCTCTTTTGTGACTGTGGGCTGGAAGCAAAGGTGAGGTAAACAGCCAAAAAATAGAGACGTAAATGAACTGACCCACATGGGGATAATGATATAATTCTAAAACTGTAGGAGTTAAAGCTAGAGTTGACCTCAGAAATCAGCTACTCTAACACGATCATTTTAAACTGCCACCTAAATTTGAGTAACACTGTATTTTTCAAAAAACTTCAGCTGAGAACCTTCCCTCATATTTTACTAAAAAAACTGAAGTCATTCCCTGAGAGTTCCTCCTTCTTCCCTCCTCTTTATCTCACATCACCCAGCTCTCCTCCTTCTCCTGTCTCACATGAATAAGTGGCCATTCTTCTTGCCAAAGAAGATCCCTCTAAATGTACAAATGATCCTATTCCATCCTATCTTCTCCAGTCGTTTGTCCCCTCTATCATCCCCACACTCTCACTTATCTTCAATCACTTCCTGTCTACTTGCTGTTCTTTCCCTACTGTCTTCAAACATACTTATGTCTCCCCTACCCTCAAAAAACCCTCACTTGATCCATTCATCCCTGCTTATTTCATCCCTTGTCTCTTCTCCTTTTTATTGCTAAACTCCTTGAGAATGTCTACAATAGGTGTCTCTGCTTCCTTTTTTCTCTCATGCTCTTCTTAATTCTCTACAGCCTGACTTTCAAGTTCAAGTAAAGTTGCTCTCTCCAAAGTTACGATTTCTTACTTGCCAAATCGAATGGCTTTTTCTCAAACCCCATCTTTCTTGACCTCTCTGAAGCCTCTGACACTGTTGATCATCTTTTGCTCTTGGATATTTTCTTCTTTCTAGGTTTTTGTGTCATTATTCTTTCCTAGTTTTCCTCTTACCTGTTTAACTGATCCTTCTCTGTCTCCTTTACTGGATCTTTATCTAACAATGAGGGCCCCACAGGGCTGGCCTGTGCCTTCTCCTCTCCTCCCTCTACACGCTCGTGGATTTATTTATTGTTTTTATATGTGATTCTCAAATCTACTTATTCAGTCTTCACCTTTCTATTGACCTCTAGCTATTTCCAATTCCAATGCCTACTGGGCATTGTCAACTTTATGTCCACTAGACATCTCAAATTCAACATATCCAAAACTAAACTCATTATCTCTCCCTCCAAAATTTCCCTTGTTCCAAACTTCCCTATTATTGTCAAGGGTAACACCAACTTCCCAGTCACCCTGACCTTGACTTAAATATATCATATCAAGGATATATATGTACATGTGTGTATATATATATATATATATATATATATATATATATATATTCGCATGTATTTAGAGAGAGAGAGAAACAGAGACACAGAGAGAGAGAGAGACAGAGAGAGAAGTAAAAGCTCACTACTGGAATTTATGCATGTGATTGGCAATGACAAACAAGGGCAGATAATTGTATTCTATCTAATAAACCTTTTGAAGAGTAATGGAAGGTTGCCAAGACCAGATGGATGTCTTGACATGATATCATAACTGTAATACAAATCATCTTTGGAAAATGTTTAGTTCTCAATGGGTAGCACAAGAATGGGAATTTGATGACAATGAAGAATTCCTTAACTCCTCACTTTCTCATATTCCATGTCAAATTAGTTGCCAAGGTCTATCAATTTTGACTCAGTAACATCTCTTGAATATACTTCCTTCTCTCCTCTGACATTGCCACTATCCCTGTGCAGGCCCTCATCACCTCACGTCTAGACTATTACACCAGCCTGCTGGTTGGTCTCCTTGACACAAACCCAAGTCTCTCTGCTCTCCAATCTATGCTCCATTCAGCTGCCAAAATGATCTACCTAAAGCACAGGTCATTCCCCCCCCTACCACCACACCGCCAACTCAACAATCTGTAGTGACTTTCTACTATTTCCAGGATCAAATAGAAAATCCTTTGGTGTCCAAAGCACTTCATAAACAGCGCTTCCCTATTCCACGCTTCTTACACCTTTGACCTCCCCATCCCCATATACCCTGCAATGCAGTGACCCTGGCCTCCTTATGCTTTCTCATATAAGACATTCCACCTCCCAACTCTTGGCATTTTGTCTGGCCAGCCCCCATGCCTAGAATGCTCTCCCTCTGCATCTCTCTCTCCTAGCTTCCTTGGCTTCCTTTAAGTCCCTGCCAAAATATCTTATTTTACAGAAAGCCTTTCCTGATCCCTCTTAATTCTATTTTGTCTTGCCTCTACTAATTATTGCCAATTTATTATGCTTTTGGCTTGTTTGCACATAGTTGTTCGCATACTGTCTCCCCCATTTGCCTGGGAACTCCTCGAGAGCAGGACCTTTCTTTTGACTATTGTATACCCAGTGCTTAGTACAGTACCTTGAACATAACAAGTGCTTAATAAGTATTTATTAACTGATTGACTCATTTGATCTCAGAGCCTCAATTAAATAGGTAGAGAAGGTATTATCAACCCCATTTGACAAATAAGGAAACTGAGGCTCTAGCAACTAAAAAAAGTTTGTGAATAGATTACATTTTAACTCTTCAAAATATGTTGTAATGAATTCAAATTTAAAATCATTCTAAGAGAAAAAAATGTAGATGTGGTACTTTTAAAAGGAAAGTTCAGTCAGCAAGGAAACCCAGACTGAGATTTTGACAAAACTAACAAAGCTTGGGGAAAAGACAAGTTTCAAAGGGTTAATGTTCTGCTATGCCTTAGATTTATAATTTTGGGGGGGGTGTTAAGGCAATCGGGGTTAAGTGACTTGCCCAGGGTCACAAAGTTAGTGAGTATCATGTGTCTGTGGCTGGTTTTGAATTCAAGTCCTCCTGACTCCAGGGCTGGTGCTCTATCTACTGCACCACCTAGCTGCCCCTTAGATTTATAATTAAGAAACATGGTGCTTTTTTCATTGTTATAATAACAGTAACACAAATTACCTTTGGAAAATTTTTTATTACATTTTAAGTTCCTGTCTCCCTCCCTTCCTACCCCACACTAGAAAAAGCCACCATTTCACAAACACACACACACACACACACACACACACATAAAACCTTCTATTTATCAGTTCTTTGAAGGTGGTGAACATCTTCCTTCATGGGTCCTTTGTAGTTGATTTGAGTATTTATAATACTCAGAATAACTTAATCATTCATAGTTGTTCTTTTCAATGGGTAGCACAAGAATGTGAATTTGATGACAATGAAGAATTTACTATTAGTGTCTTGTGTTAAGTTTGACTAAGGATTCACTACGATGGAAACAGGTGGTCTAAAAAATAACCAGCTTGTCCAAAGCATGGTTAAAACCATGACAAATACGAAATAAAAACAATATAAATGTATAATTTAACACAGAAAAAACTTACTTATTTTTCTGAAACAACATATGCTAACCTTATTTAAATTCACTAAAATTCTCTCCAAATCAGATTTCCACGACAGTCAGAATTCTCCAATAATTAACTTATCTGCAGAAAACTGAATAATAACTGCTGGTATATTTTCAGAACTAATAAAGTTATTGTAGCTGTTGAATGTAATGACTACAATAAATCTTTAACAGCAGTTATCTCATAATCTATTTTCACAGCTACAAAGAAAAAAAGCACGTCTTAAAAATTATTCCAATATCATTTTCCTAGGTTGGTTACAATGAGTTTACATTGGTCTCCAACAGGCCGTGATGAGGAAAACTTACCAACCATTTGGTGACCAGCAGATAGAGCACTGGGCTGGAGTCAAGAAGACTTGAGTTCAGATACAGCCTCAGACACTTACTAGATATGGGACCCTGGTAAAGTCACTGAACCTGTTAATCTCAATTTCCTCAACTATTTCCTGTTTTAACAGGAGACTGTTTACAATTTCCTTAACTGTAAAGTGGGAATAATAACAACACCTACCTTGTAGGGCTGTCTGAGGATCAAATGAGATAATATTTGTAAAGCACTTAGCACAGTGCCTGGGACACAATAAGAGCTATATAAATGTTTATTACATTTCTCCTTCCCCTCACTCTCCTCATCCCCTTCTGCCTTCACTTCTAAGCAACACCAGGGATTCTAGTTAGGGTACATTACAACAACATTAAGCAACAACAGGCGCCTTACAACAGAGATTTTTCAAAGTCCTTTACTTAAAAGAGGTTGAAATGCAGAACTCCCTATGGTTCAATGAACCTAAATAATAAAAGTGTCAAGTTTATAGGTACTGTCATTTCCCATAGATGCTTTAACTGCCAATATTCCAGGTGATAACTACCTGCAAAGGTCTCCTTAAAGCACCTTGTACACCTGGACTCTCAGAGAGTTGTCGGAATAGAAAGAACATTCATAGATGTGTTGTCTGTGGGTGGTCTCTCTTCAACCACTGTAGCTTGAGAACAGGTATCCCAGCCATCAGGGGCCAGTCTTGACTACTTTAGAGACTACAATTCTTCCTACTTACTGCTTCTGCTCTCAGATGGCTTTTTAATCATTTATCATTTTTTATCATTTCTTCAATTATTATTTATTTTTGGTATTTCTTCAATTTTTTTATCATTTCTTGAATAATTCAAATTAACTTTTGACAGTGTGATAGAGGGCTGAACTAGAATTCATGGGTGGAAGTTGTGAAGAAGCAAATTTGTGTGGTTTGATATAATGAAAACCTTCCTAACAATGAGAGGGAGGCCAAAGTCAAATTGTCTGCTTCAGAAAGTGGTGGGTTTCCCTTTCCTGAAGATCTTCAAGTAAAGGCTTGGATAATCACTCATTGGAGAGATTATAGAATGGATTATCAGTCAAGATGGAGTTTTAGGTAGCCTCAGAGACTCCTTTCAAATCAGGTTATGACTCTGTGAAAAAAAATGGGGAAGGTGACATTGTAGTGAAATGGGTAAGAGGGTTGGACTTGGGAGTCAGGAAGACTGAATTCAAATTCATCCTCAGATATTTACTAGCTGTGTGACTCTGGGCAAGTCATTTAACCTCTGTTTGCCTCAGTTTCCTAAACTGTGAAATTGTGATATAAAATGGGGATAACAATAGAACCTATCTTGCAGGGATGTTGTGAAGATCAAATGAGATAATATTTATAAAGCACTTGGCAAATGTAAAGTGTTATATAAATGCTAGATGTTATTATTATGACTGTTACCTGCTTAAAGACATTATAATGGATCAGTGAATGTCACTGAGGCAAATGCCAAATCTCCGTAAAAAAATAAATATCAGGACATAACAACAATCAGGAGAAAACCATTGAGGAGAATACTGGATATGCTGCTGGTCTCAGGGACAACTTGAAGTTCCCAATTTTAGCGTCTAACAACATCCTAAACATAACATGGGAGGTTGGGGGTGGGGGTGAAACTAGAGGCTCTC